AGACAAGTTTAATTCCCTAGGTGTCTGTCCACTACAGACAAGTTTAATTCCCCAGGTGACTGTCCACTACAGACAAGTTTAATTCCCTAGGTGTCTGTCCACTACAGACAAGTTTAATTCCCTAGGTGTCTGTCCACTACAGACAAGTTTAATCTCTTGAGTGTCCATCAATTATGGACTAGGTTCAATCCCATGGTTGTCCACTATACACAGGTTTAACTCTTTGAATACCAGTGTCAATTTTTGGCACCATTTACAAAATGATTTTGTATATTCTGTTTTCTGTTATATATGTTGATAAAAAAATACAAAACTTTTGATCAAAAGCCAAAAGCAATATCTAAAACTGTCTGTATGGCCCAAAATTTTGATGAATTTCACTGAATATTTTACAAAACATAAACATATTTGCACTGTTTTTCTGGCAGAGAAAAATACCATACACTCAAAAGGACCATCCCCTGGTTGTCCACTTTACACAGGTTCAATATTCTGGCTATTCACTGTACACAGGTTGAATATCCTGGTTGTTCACTATACAAAGGTTTAACCCCCCTTGTTTACTATACACAGGTTAAATCCACTGGTTGTTCGCTATACACAGGTTTAACCCCTGGTTGTCTACTATACAAAGATTAAATCTTGTGTTGTCCACTATAGAGGGGTCAGTAAAGGTCATAAAATCTACCTATCAAATCTTGCTAGACGTCGCCGTCTCAACTCATCATTATCAATAACACTGTTACTATGATTGCCTGATTGTCGATTCTGTTCAACAAAATGATAACTAGGAGGTTCTGTTGGTCTACTAGAATCAACATGACTATGACTTTGAGGAGCTCGTCTAGACTGGTTGACTGTTGGATCAGTAAAACCATATGGGAGAGGCTGATCATCCACTTCGAGAGGAGGAGCACTGGGGCCTGGGGGAGGTGGTGCACTTGGGACTGCATCATTGGGGAGAGTAGGATAAAGTCTAGCTCTTTGTTCATATGTGTGGTTCACTTCCTCATTATGATTCATTTCATAACCTAGAAAATAGTAACAAAAGTCATGTTTTTATCACTGGTGTCAAATTTAAAAAAGAATAGTAAGCATGTAGGATTGGTCAATAAGCTTGTATGC